ATTTAATTAGCATTAAATAAGAAGAATTTAATTAGGAAATACTCAATGTTACGACTTAACACTACTGAATACGGATTATAGTTTCGAATCAAAACATACTCAGAAGCGTTTTGTTTTCTTTGTTGTTACTAGTTATTAAATAAATACATTGAAATAATGAATAGATCTTATAATCAACATGTTTACATAAGGATGGTGTCTTTGGGCATCGTTTCAGATTATGGCAGCTACGTAACTCCATTGCTTTCTCACTGCACAAAAACATGAAACCACCAAAATATTTGTTCTACGTACGAAATGAGTATGAAGCGAGTTGGAACTAAAGCATTAATTCTAGTTTTTGGATTTACGCACCCTCTCGGAAGGACAATCATCTTACAGTACTTTAAAATAACCCCCTTTGTGGAGAATACCTTTGAAGATATCAAAGGAAACTGTGCAATGAAAACTTTTTCTTGTAATTTTCAGAAATGAAAATAGAAACGACAAAATAATTTCCACAACCGTAAGAAATATCTGCTAAACTTCACAATCTTTGAGATACAATCAAACATGCTGTTGTAACGAGAATTTCAATTATTCTTGCTCGAAGTTGTTTGCATGTCTCTGATGGAGTGCCACCGGTGGGGCAAGTACGCTAACCTTTTCGTGTATAATGCGTATTTGCACCTTCTCGTGTATCTTTAATTGATAGTGATTCACGTACACTAACATCGTATCGCATGACATCAATCACAGGATTGTCTGGTCCGGCTTATCTACAGACCACCGTCATACAGAGGTAACATAGCTGTGTGCGGCGTTAAACAGGCACATACATATTCGTTATTCGTTATACAGCCGGATTTGTGTAACGCCGTTCTTGGTTATATGTCTGAGAATATTTACATGACTGAGTCTGGAACTATAATTGCAGTGATCACCCTTCTGAACAGCAGTTTACTTCGTTGCATCAATGACCAATCACAGCATCTGTGCCCTCTTATGCACACATTGAAGGCTGTGCATGTCGCATTGGACGTCGTCATTAAATCTGCAGTATTGTCTGCCAGATTGTGTTTTCTTCGTGTTTGGGAAGAGATGAAGATGTTGCAATACCTATGTTTACATCATCCCTTCAGATGGTGATGATTTTTGACAAATTCCGCCATGAATTAAAAGAACACAATTTCTACGATTAAAAACACGATACGAATAAACATACTTTCAATGACATGGTTTTACATACCGTCTTTGTGGTAGCGCAGACAGACAGCAATGATTAGTAGAGATTCGGATCATGGATCATGAATCATCGGGGGTAGGGGGTGTCATGTATCTTAGGGACGGTCCCTATTCCTGATTTTTTTATTTACCTCACATTACAAAAATAAGCAAATTAATACTGGACATTGATTATGTACAAAGTAAGTGACCCCCTGCATGTCACGTACAAAATCAATGCCCCTTCCGACTCTTATACAGCTGCTGTAGCTAATGATGCCGCTGTCTTGCTGAACTGGATATATGTCAACTATTGAAAGAGCAAAATATAGCCATTACACATTTAGTTATTTGCTTCTGTATTCAATACAAGTGAAAAAAAATACTAAAAAATAACACAGTATTAAAGCATGCTGCATCTGAAAAACAAAGTTGAAGTTAAATCGTCCATACAGTGATGGACTATTGAAACATTAGCATACGATGGTCATAACAACCAATTTGAACAGTAGAAGCATTCATAAAATAGTCGCATGTCCCTTAACAGCAACCATATATTTTGTCTGATCAGTCGAATTTTAAATTTGTCTACCACGGGTATATGCTCAGTGTATAAGCTTCATAGAAACGTAGTCTTTCTGACCAACGACTGCTTGCCCCGAAGATCAACGAAACTAAAGACATAACGCATAAAGAATTGATATGCATGACTCACTTACTCACCCCTTTCGTGAAACAAAGCAACATGACTATGGTGCTGATGACAACGTATTATCACATAACCAGTATTATGCATCTGCTGTTAGGGAGAGAAAGACAGCCCTTCATGTCACCATTGGGCACAGTTTTCGATGTACCCGAGGATGTTCGAAATAAAGTGAGCGAAAGAGGTTTTTTTTACGCTGCATTCAACAATATTCCGGCGGTCTAAAATTAATCGAATCTGGACCAGTCAAACCAGCGATTAACAGCATGAGCATCGATCCCGTTAGTCGCGTCTTCCGACAAGCACTTAAGTTACTGAAGATCAACTCTAACCCGTGAAAATATAATATTACAAACATTCTATAAATATTCTGAAGTATTTGATAGAAAACGAGAGAGATTTTACCTACCTTTCATGGGCTTGTATCCCTCTGAAGTGAGTTTCTTTTCCACACGTTTACACACGGTGCGGCATGAATCAAAGGGATGCGGAAGCGTAAACTAATTAGGGCTAATTGAGTTGAAGATGTCACTTGTTTGTTATTTAATTAGCATTAAATAAGAAGAATTTAATTAGGAAATACTCAATGTTACGACTTAACACTACTGAATACGGATTATAGTTTCGAATCAAAACATACTCAGAAGCGTTTTGTTTTCTTTGTTGTTACTAGTTATTAAATAAATACATTGAAATAATGAATAGATCTTATAATCAACATGTTTACATAAGGATGGTGTCTTTGGGCATCGTTTCAGATTATGGCAGCTACGTAACTCCATTGCTTTCTCACTGCACAAAACATGAAACCACCAAAATATTTGTTCTACGTACGAAATGAGTATGAAGCGAGTTGGAACTAAAGCATTAATTCTAGTTTTGGATTTACGCACCCTCTCGGAAGGACAATCATCTTACAGTACTTTAAAATAACCCCCCTTCGTGGAGAATACCTTTGAAGATATCAAAGGAAACTGTGCAATGAAAACTTTTTCTTGTAATTTTCAGAAATGAAAATAGAAACGACAAAATAATTTCCACAACCGTAAAAATATCTGCTAAACTTCACAATCTTTGAGATACAATCAAACATGCTGTTGTAACGAGAATTTCAATTATTCTTGCTCCGAAGTTGTTTGCATGTTTCTGATGGGTGCCACCGGTGGGGCAAGTACGCTAACCTTTTCGTGTATAATGCGTATTTGCACCTTCTCGTGTATCTTTAATTGATAGTGATTCACGTACACTAACATCGTATCGCATGACATCAATCACAGGATTGTCTGGTCCGGCTTATCTACAGACCACCGTCATACAGAGGTAACATAGCTGTGTGCGGCGTTAAACAGGCACATACATATTCGTTATTCGTTATACAGCCGGATTTGTGTAACGCCGTTCTTGGTTATATGTCTGAGAATATTTACATGACTGAGTCTGGAACTATAATTGCAGTGATCACCCTTCTGAACAGCAGTTTACTTCGTTGCATCAATGACCAATCACAGCATCTGTGCCCTCTTATGCACACATTGAAGGCTGTGCATGTCGCATTGGACGTCGTCATTAAATCTGCAGTATTGTCTGCCAGATTGTGTTTTCTTCGTGTTTGGGAAGAGATGAAGATGTTGCAATACCTATGTTTACATCATCCCTTCAGATGGTGATGATTTTTGACAAATTCCGACATGAATTAAAAGAACACAATTTCTACGATTAAAAACACGGTACGAATAAACATACTTTCAATGACATGGTTTTACATACCGTCTTTGTGGTAGCGCAGACAGACAGCAATGATTAGTAGAGATTCGGATCATGGATCATGAATCATCGGGGGTAAGGGGTGTCATGTGTCTTAGGGACGGTCCCTATTCCTGATTTTATTTACCTCACATTACAAAAATAAGCAAATTAATACTGGACATTGATTATGTACAAAGTAAGTGACCCCCTGCATGTCACGTACAAAATCAATGCCCCTTCCGACTCTTATACAGCTGCTGTAGCTAATGATGCCGCTGTCTTGCTGAACTGGATATATGTCAACTATTGAAAGAGCAAAATATAGCCATTACACATTTAGTTATTTGCTTCTGTATTCAATACAAGTGAAAAAAAATACTAAAAAATAACACAGTATTAAAGCATGCTGCATCTGAAAAACAAAGTTGAAGTTAAATCGTCCATACAGTGATGGACTATTAAAACATTAGCTTACGATGGTCATAACAACCAATTTGAACAGTAGAAGCATTCATAAAATAGTCGCATGTCCCTTAACAGCAACCATATATTTTGTCTGATCAGTCGAATTTTAAATTTGTCTACCACGGGTATATGCTCAGTGTATAAGCTTCATAGAAACGTAGTCTTTCTGACCAACGACTGCTTGCCCCGAAGATCAACGAAACTAAAGACATAACGCATAAAGAATTGATATGCATGACTCACTTACTCACCCCTTTCGTGAAACAAAGCAACATGACTATGGTGCTGATGACAACGTATTATCACATAACCAGTATTATGCATCTGCTGTTAGGGAGAGAAAGACAGCCCTTCATGTCACCATTGGGCACAGTTTTCGATGTACCCGAGGATGTTCGAAATAAAGTGAGCGAAAGAGGTTTTTTTTACGCTGCATTCAACAATATTCCGGCGGTCTAAAATTAATCGAATCTGGACCAGTCAAACCAGCGATTAACAGCATGAGCATCGATCCCGTTAGTCGCGTCTTCCGACAAGCACTTAAGTTACTGAAGATCAACTCTAACCCGTGAAAATATAATATTACAAACATTCTATAAATATTCTGAAGTATTTGATAGAAAACGAGAGTTAGTGATAAGCCGAATATTAAATGTGTCTTAAATATGAGTCATAGTGTTTCCAAACTTTAAAGATATCCTTTGAGTGTTCACATGATCTTCTTGACACAGGACGTCTTGCTTTCAGGGTCAGGAATAAGGTAAAATCACCTTCGTATCCCCTTAAAACTTACCGATAATGACTTAGTAGTCATATTTACAATTAAAGTGTGTGAATGTTTAAACGCTGAAGAATTAATAAGAATTTAACACATAAAATCTTAAAAGGACGTGCCTTTAGTAGAGTGTATGGTGGTAACACACAAGAAACAAACTCCTCGAAGCGAATGAAAAAACATCGGGATTTGGAGCAATATACAAATAATTATAATGTCAGTTTAAAATGATTTAAAGTAGCGAGTTGGTACCATTAGGCCTCAGTACACAAGTCTGTATTTTGCGCGAGTGTCGTTGTTCATGTCTGCTTCACAAAACCAAAAATAGGGGTTTCCTTGATGCAACATGTCCATGTTGGAATAATCCATGCACTGATGCAACAAATCCGTGTTGGAATATCGCTTGCACTGATGTAACATGTCCATGTTGGAATATTTGTTGCTCTGATGTAACATGTCCAAGTTGGAATATTGGTCCCTCTGATGTAACATGTCCAAGTTGGAATATTGGTTGCTCTCATGTAACATGTCCAAGTTGGAATATTGGTCCCTCTGATGAAACATGTCCAAGTTAGAATATTGATTGCTCTGATGTAACATATCCATGTTGGAATATTGGTTGCTCTGATGAAACATGTCCAAGTTGGAATATTGATTGCTCTGATGTAACATGTCCAAGTTGGTATATTGATTGCTCTGGTGCAACATATCCATGTTGGAATATTTGTTGCACTGATGTAACATGTCCATGTTGGAAGATTGATTGCTCTGATGTAACATGTCCATGTTGGAATATTGGTTGCACTGATCCAATATCATACGAGGGGCAACAAGAATTGATGCATGTCACAGACGTTCCTCCATTTGGTGAGACAAAGCATCACACCCATGGTGCAGATAACCCAATAATCAGATCATGCAACGCCTGTGGACTGAACTCTGTAGCAGCAGCTTGAACGACTGGGCCTTTCATACATGTACCTCCCGTGCTCTTGCCGTCGTACAATATACAGAGTCTACATGATGCTGTTTGACCACTAAATAAGCTATCACTATTTAAAGTAAAGGTTCCATTAGCAGTGCAAATTGAGTTGTTGAGTGTTGTTACTGGTTACTAAACATATACGTTAGATTAAAGAGGGGGACTTATAAATATAAACAAAATGTGAAGATGAGGAGATGGTGTTTGAGTCCTTTCATGATGTGGCAACTACGTAAATCCATCGTTTTCAGCAAGTGTTCACATGAAACCACCAAACTATGATATTCCCCGTGTAATATGAAAGGAGTATAAATGTGTTGAATCTAGAACATTAATTGCATGGTGTTTTCAGGCGACGAAGATAATCCCCAGTGAATGTTAGGTTCCAGCGACTTCTTTAATTTCTACAAACAAAAAGAAAAGAATGGCAATATATTTTTTTCCATTACGACAGTAGATAATATAACATTCATACAGCTGGATTTAACAGAACATACATTTTGTACATTTATATCCAAGATTCGAATTAGAATTTCATTATTCGTCTATTATATCTACCCACTGATTACATGATTAGAATTATACTAACATTTTGTTCTATGATTTTCCAAAAGCAGCATATGATAATAAGTAAAAAACAAAATACGACGGAATCATACCTATAGCTGATTATATAATTATCTCTTTTATACTATCACACGAATGTTCAAATTGCGGAAATGGGATTGCAATTTGCCAGGAGAATTGACCGTAGATATTTGCCAGGAGGATGGGGAAATTGGCAGAGACCCCGTTTGATGTGAATCCCTTTCACATGAAGTAAAGATAAGCTAGTCATGTAACAGTGGGAAACACGTTCTTGCATATGCACAGCGCCCAATGACGTTACCTCTCTGATTGAATTTCCCTCTGTTTTGTACACCGTCCAGATGAAGACAACAGGCAAAGGAAAGATTGAACCAAAGGATATCATCCATCCAAGTCCCGTGGCCCAGGTAGGGTAGATGTAGTCACCATAGTTAGGGGGTCGGTAAGAGTACAGGGAGAAGCAGAAGATGATCTGTAAGAATGATGATTCCGGGATGAAAGAACAATTGTGGGCACACCGTGTATTGTGTACATTGTCATGATGACTAAAGGGACTATATGCAACTCAACCAATGTAGTTGACAATTGCATGTTTCTGTGTATGTGTGAATGTCATGAGGGGGGAGGGGAGAGTCAGGTGATCTGGAAGTGAGATACATAACGTGGATGATGCCACCAGTGGCTGTGTAGTTGCCTCCCTTGGGTACGCCAGAAACCTAGGATGGGTTTGAATGATGTGTTGCCCCGATCTTATTTCATATTTTGATAACACTACATCCTTGTCTATCACTAAACCTAAAATCGTAAACATCCAAGACAATGGCATGTTACACTGTTGTCAATTATATATCATTGGCATCTTAATCATCTATACATACATAGCTATACCATTGCAATCATATACCTCCATGCACACGTCAAACTGCTGACACATATATTCCAGCAAGGTCATGCTGCACTGCTACTTTCGTCATACCGATACAGAAATTTTGTATGGCTGTAACCAAAATACAAACACTTCACCGTAATTAACTGTTAGGTTTTGGCTTCCATTTGTCCTTTGCAAACCACACGTCCATTGTTTAGAAGGCATCTTCGTTCTTTTTTTACCTTTGTTATTCTTACATGCACATATATATGCTCTGTGCCGCATACCATTCATTCGGCACCCTTGAAGAGCAAAGTCCTCGTGGTGGGTGCTGGGTAACGCTAATAGCTCTTCACCCACCCAATCTGGTAATGCCAACATCTGAATTCCGTATGTCTCTACATACCTGTTATGGGCAAACCAGCTTGGCAGTTCTTTTTTGGTAGACAATTATGGCAATTCATGTTGTATTTGCCGGAGTATAACACCTCTGTAAACCTGGTGTTGTAGTTGGTTACCTATGCAACATCGTCCATGTTGACACTCGATGGCGGGTGGGGAACGAGGGTGTTGAATACTATTCGGACGCCATGTCTCAAAACCAAAACTCTGGTTCTTGGAAAACTAAAAAACGCATGTAGAAGCTTTGACCTTCTGATGAAGATGTTTCTCCAGATGTTGCTAAATCTTGGCCAACGTTTTTTGTTATATCTTCTGCTGATGGTAATCCATTGAAACGCAATCCTTTTGCTGTCTCCAAGGGCATACAAAGTGTCTGCGGAGAAGTGTAGAATGTAACTCATCTTCGATGTGGTTCATTGCTTGTTGAATATGCACGAAGACAGCAGTCTGTTAACTTGCTGGGTCTAAAGCAGTTTGTTAATACCAAGGCTGTTGTCTCGGTGCACAAATCATTGAATTTATGTAGCTAAATGTCTGTCTGACATGACAGAAGATGGCATTTCTGCTTCTGTAACAAGTCAAGGTGTTACCTCTGTGAAACGCTTCATCAGAAATCAGGAGAACAATATTATCAAAACAAATACCTACCTTTTCACCTTTGCCCTCTCCATTCTTCCAAAATAAATTAAGGCTGGTTACTTTAACATCGGTATGGACGTTTCTATTTAAAACCTACTTCGGTGTTTTAATTGCCCAAAAATTTGGTCATGGTCCCAAGTCTTGCAATCATGTCTCTATCTGTGTCCGTTGCAGTGGGGCTCACGAGAGCTCAGAGTGCACTAATAAAATCAAGTGTGCCAACTGTGAATAGACATTTAGCATCATCCAAATCCTGACCCAATTTTGAACATCAGTCGAAAATACTCAAACTAAAGTATACTAACAATATCTCTTTTGCAGAAGACAAAACAATAATTCCAATACAGACACAAACAACCGCTTCTTATTCTGCAGCAGTTTCTTCATCTTGTCCTTCTGAAGTTTCACAGCAATATGTTTCATGTCTGACAGCAATATCCTGGGTGACAGATATACAGGTCACACTTGATAAGTATGTCTCATACCAAACTGTCCAAAAAACCTCATCAGCTTGCTTCTCAGACTGAGGATCTATCAGAACTACGATCTGTGCCTACATCAGACCAGGAAAGTGAGACCGTTCAACTGGAAAAACGCTAAAGCATTTAGAGGCCCTCCATTCTTTGGAAGCCCCTGTATCGGTTCACAATCCATTCGAACCGCTTGATATGGACGTCACTCCATAACATCCTGTAAATGAGAGTGGCTATTCCACACATTCTAGAACCTTAGTTGAGCCTCCATGAATGGCTCCAAAACTCTGATCCAGTGGAATTGCAGAGGAATCAGCGGGAATTTAAATGAAATACAGTTATTAGTACAAGAATTTCAACTATCAGCACTGTGTCCCCAAGAGACATATCTTAAACCAACAGATAAATTGGATTTGGTTACCCAGCCACGTTGGCATTGATGGGAACACAATGAGCCATCTTGCTGCCAAGGCAGTACTCAACACATCTGTGACAATACTCTGATTACAAAGCTAGCATTAGATCGTACATTCGTTATGTGATGTAGAAGTGGGACACCCAGGTACATGTAGGTATTAGTAAATTGCATGAAATAATGCCCTATATTGCTTATACCTACTTGGTTTGTCAGTCCAGATTTGACGAGGTCATTATGCGACGATGTCTCATTGGCCGTACTAGATATACACACGAATATTTATTAAAAGGTGAGGATCCTCCATTTTGCATCCCTTGTGATGTGAGGATCACGGACAAGCATGTCCTGCTTCACTGTATTGATTTTTCCTTCACAAAGGACAAATATTTCAATGTTAAACAGTGAAGGATCTTTTTAATGTAAATTATCATTTAATCGTTGAAAAAGGATCTGTTATATTGTTAATTACCTTTTAATTATTGACTTCTTAAAGGAAATTGAACTAATTAATATATTGTGATTGATATGTTTTGTATATAGATATATATTTCATTATTGGCATTATTATCAACTTACATTGTTGGTGGCTGTACCCTCACAGAGGGTTGAAGTCTCGTAAAATTATTGCCCTCCTGTGGGTGTACGTAAGTCCCAAAACTTTCCAAGTAAATTTATATTTACCAGACTTTTTATACTTTTTAAATTTTAAAGTACGGCAACTGAAGGGATGGTGTAAACGCAACTAGGGTCCATGCAGGTAGCAAAGGTAATGTAAGTCCACATGCTCCCTAGTGTGGTGATCTACCTTCAGTTGTTGGCGATCTTACAGCCTGTTTGTATTTTTGTATCGTCTTCTGTGGTGAAACTGTTTTAGAATTAATTACTAGTTTAAATGTTTATCTGTGATAGTCTAGTTGTTTTACTGTCCTTCGTTGAAAGGTGTTTCTAATTTACTTTTAATAATTATAAATCTATAACTTTATTTAGTCACGATATGGCTGAAATATTGCCGATGTGACTTAAATTTTTAACTCACTTATTCACTCTCCCATACCATTCATTCACCTGATGAAGGAGTAAGGATATACTCCGAAACATTGTGTTCCTATTAATAAAGAAGTTGACATCCATAAAACTCTCTTTCTTATGGACATGTTGCATGAATGCAATATACGAACCCACCGACATGGACATGGACGCACCAACATGGACCACTGCCACTTACCAGGAGGAGTCCGGGGCAGATGAATTTCAGGCTGAAGGTCATGACCCTCGGGACAGTCTTCCCGCACATTAATCTAATGACCCTCTGCAGTCTGTGTGTGCCTAAAACAAATAGTCGACTCCTTGTGGTTATCTCACGGTACTACCATACCAGCAGTGTACATAAAGTAGACTTCTTACGATATATATAGAGAACCACAACACATACTGTCAATCGTCAAAAAGAATTTGCTCAAAGCCAAATCCCGTTTGTAACAGGTAGCTCAAAAAGTCAGGGCCACGCTCTTTATTCATTTGGCGCCTTGGACAATACTATCGTTTAAAGTTATTTTTACGTATGTTTTCATTTTAATTGATGTTCGTTTCTAGTTACCATAGATCCAGCTGACAACAAAGCATTCCAACATGGCAAAAACTGCTATGGAGGGGAAGAACGCATACCAGTCCACCAGTGTAAGCATGTACATTCCACCCTGTCAAAAAAGAGTTTCAACATTCTTGATTTTACGTTTTACAGCTTGTCGCTTCTGTCCGTTCTGCATTTGTCGACCTGGGAAGGTCCGGGTTAGAATTGGCCTTCAGTAACACATGCTATTGGAAAGAGACAAAAACACATGCACTTCTCTATTCTTTGCAAAGGTCGTTATTCGGAGTGACAACAAACTCTCCACAAGGCTGTTTGGCCAAAAGCATGATTTAAACATTTCAACTATCAGCCTTCCTTTCTGTTGAGCAACATTCCAACAGCTGCAGCCTTTGCAGCCTGGTTCCCGGGATCTGCGGCGCTAACGCTTCGACTCTGACTGCAGCAATCACTACCGAATGGCGGCCATCACTGCTAGGTGACACGCCACATATCTGCTATAGAAAACTCCGAGAACGGGTGGTTAGAATTTTTTCATAGCACCTTCATCGTTATTCGACACAAGGCTGTTTGGCCAAAAGCATGAATTCAACTTATCAACTATCAGCCCTCCTTTTTGTTGAGCAATATTCCAACAGCTACAGCCTTTGCAGCCTGGTTTCATAGCACCTTCATCGAGACTATTGCAAGGTATACGTCACCAGAACCACGCTCATCCTTATCCTTATTTAACCAGGCTGCCGCCTTTTGTATTTACAGTTCGCAACTCTTGCTCAGAAGTTACAAGTTACAGCATTCAGACCTCAGTATTATGACTGGAACAGACAGGGTAGGTGTCCCAGATTCCATTTTTTATATATGACCATCATACAACTGTAGCATTGATGAGTGTGTTGTACAATTGATTCTGATTTTATAAGAAATTTTTATGGTCATGGGGTTTTCGCTTTTATTATTAGGAAAGTTAGATATCATGAATTATTGCATGTGTCTGCACTTTCATGTATGTCACTCGGAAGCCACTAGCCTCTTAGTTATGCCGCGCGAAGAGGGGGATATAATATTAGGCTCCGTCCGTCCATACGAATTGGAATATCTTAAGAGGCGTAGACTAGATTCTTTTTCAGATTTAAGTACCTAGATCCACCACAGTATGAGAAAGGTCCCAGTTATGTTTGGTGACCTTGACCTTCATTTCAAGGTCACAAGGGGACTAACATTTTACCCTAATCAGCAAGATATCTCAAACACCGTTCACTGGATTCCCTTCATATGCGACACCAAGCTTTACCTAGGGCAGACGCAGGGCCCGGTCGATTTAGGTGACCTTCACATAATTTTCAAGGTCACAGCAACACTTTGAAGATTTCAGCATGTTCAGCTCAATGTTAAATTTGTCAGCAAGATACCTGAAGAACCGGTGACTGGGTTTTCTTCCTATTCATCACCAAGCTTCATCTTGGGAAGTTCACTTTTTATTGTATAAATTGTTTTCGTCACGATATGGCTGATATATTGCCGATGTGACGTTAAATATTAACTCACTCACTCACTCATCTCGGGAAGGCACAGGGCCCAGTTGATTTGGTGACCTTCCCGTCACTGTCAAGGTCACTGCGACACTTTGAAGATTTCAGCATGTTCACCTGCATGTTAAGCATGTCAGCGAGATACCTGAAGATCTGGTCACCGCATATTCTTCATATTCGACACCAAGCTTCATCTAGGGAAGGTGCAAGGCCCAGTCGATTGTGGTGTCCTTCACTTAATTCTCAAGGTCACGGTGACATTTTGAAAACGTCAGCATGTTAACCTGCATGTTAGGATTGTCAGCAAGATATCTCAAGAACGGTTCACTGGATTTTCTTCACAGACTTTCAAGACTTCTCTTCAGTGTTTATGATAAGCAATTTCTTTATTAATATTTTTGCATTTTTCATACACCATGACATTCATGTCAAAGTCAAAGTGATTCTTGACAATATTTGTGTGTTTGAACAACTACGGAGCAAGATATCAAGATAGGTTGACTGGTCATGTTTTTGTTGACATTTAACTTCATCTTAAACTACAACCTTCACTGTCATTACTTTTTGAGTTTGGTTTGATAATATGCGGCGGGAGATTATCTCACCCTAGTGACAATGCTTGTTCTGTCATATTATTAAACTTCCAATGTTTGTCATAATGTCGAATATGTTGGGGATAGGGAAAGCTGTAAGTATCTGGGTACAGTTCATTCACCTGTGCCATGTAGAGTAGACCAAGGAGAAAGCATGGTACCAGGACCATGAGGATGATCACCCAACGTCGGCGAGACAGGCTTGGAAACTGATCTGACAATGCCGTTACCGCGATCTCAAAGCATGGTAACTGTAAAGAAACGGTACTGCAATATATAAACCGCGTTTCAGTCTGATACATATATGTAATATTTCTCATATATAATATTCTTACTACAACAACTTTTATGTATTGATATATGCAGTTGTCGCTTTATATCAATGTCTTATGAGGAATGTAAATATCATACATACATCCGTCTAAGGCCTTTGAGATTTATTGTTTAAAGAAAGATCAAAATGGGAACCTTTTCAAACTCCTACACTTGTGTGCTTTGAATGTTATGGACGCGTTTGGAATAAAACATTGTCGGCCTTGATGAAATTTCTGACAACTATCACGCTATATTATTATCCGAACAGGTTTGGACTACTGTCCATTTCATACCCAACTATACAAGAATGGCAAAAACTGAGCGAAACAGGATTGTTTTGTCAACTCAATATATACTGAACCGCAAAAGAAACGCCACCTTTCAAAACTAAATGAAAATTTTGTTCATGTGGTGTTTGTATTATGATTGTACCGTTTTGTTAACGTGTTTTTCAATCCGAATTAACAGTTATTACCAACATCAGTGTGTTTTCTGATGAAGTCATATCGGCATTAGTGAAAATAAAAATGGACGTGGCACAAATGAGCGAAACAGGATTGTTTTGTCAATTTAACATAATTTGCATCGGACAGGGTCTTATCGATTGCCCGTTTTTTACCACGTTGTCGCCATGTGCTGGTTCAACTTGGGTAATGAATATGAGATTACAGGAGAACTCTTTTTCTGATGCATTTGGCTGATTTTATGAGCTTAGCCTGTTGGTCAAAAAGCGGTTTTATCGTAATTCGGAAGTTATACCTTACCAGAGAGTCGAGTCCCAGTGTTAGCAAATTCAAGAAGGTCAAGACAGACCACAACTGAGGCAAGGGGAGTGAAGCCACAGCTTCTGGATATGTGATGAACCCAAGGTTGTATCCTGGACAAATAAAACAACATATTCATCAAATAGAAAACGTTGATATTCATACAATAATCCTGTGTGGCTTGTACTGATACTGATAGACATATACGAACCAGGTGCGTGATGGCTTATTAATTATCTTCGGTGTGATTGTCCGCTCAAGACTGATTTGTAAAGCCAAATATTTGAAACTGTTACATCCGTTTAATTAGTGCTGGTGTTTACACATAAAACAAATTTCCCTACTTTCACTCTCTGGGGTGAATTTTTCAGCAAAAACTTAACAAACGAAGAGATTTTCGGGCACAACTTAAGTAGCTGATCGTACAGTTTATCAGGAAGAAAACAAGGAGGAGGAGCGATCTAAATTTAAATGTTTTAAGTGTAACTGGTATATACATGTTGACACAGTGGTATTGATCAGAACATATTTAGCAAACATTAATGAATAATATGACTGGCGTGCATAAATGAAGGAAATACCTGAATATTGGAACGAATCTACAGTCACACCACGCAGGTGAGCAACGTGACCCATGATGGCAAAGAAGGCAAACCCCATGTACATAGTTGTCAATGCAACAGCGGTAACTAGGACCAACGCGTCCCTACAAGAAAAACGTTACATTACAACATTTTACCCTCTTAGTCAAACCAAATCTTATACAGTGGATGAAGCATGAACACCCTCACTACATTATTGTTTTGGGGGGGTCCGGAGGAGGAAGTTTCCCTCTTAATGTGCCATTATTATTTAAACTGAAGTTCGTGACTCACGGGCCAATAGACCGATCCAGTCTGTCAATCAAAAATGACCCATGCGCCAAAAATGCGTCGATTTTGGCCAATCAGCAGGCCGGGTGCACTTTTTGATTTGTCAATCTTACTTCAGGGATCAAACGATCCCCCACGAAGCACTGACTCATGGGCCAACTTGTTTATATCTCCTTGTCTCAAGATATTGTAATGACGCCTTCAATTTTTGGTCACTTTGTAGATGGCAATTCATGTCATATCTGCTGGAGTAAAACACCCCTGTTTCTTTGTTTTGCATCTTGGTGCTATCTGACATTGTCATTGTTGACAGTCGATGGCAGGAGTGGAGCAAAGGTGCGGGGTTAATTTCCTTCATTACGTCAAGAGTTTGATCTGTCACTAACAGTTTTAATACTTGATAACGAATTTGAATCTAACGAGGCTTACTTGTCACGATATGAGACACAATGTATTCAAAAAGGAAAGTATGACTTTCTGAAGAATACTGACAACCCGATACAGTTTAACCTCATGACGTTGTTTCATAAGTTCATCCTCTTCAAATGCTCATATTCACAACCAATAACCGTATAATAACGCAACCCGTTCTGGCCATCTTTACATGAACGAAAGTGTCCACATTCTTCCCTGTCATTCAGTGAGAACAGAGATTCTGCAGGGTTAACCGGTAAAGAAAGCACGGAGCGATATCAATTTCACATTTAACAACATTTAACATTTATAAACAAAGCTTTAACGGACTTCTTTTTTTCTTCAACTTGAACAATTTTAATTACCTTACAAATAAACATCTTTCACATTTGTCCCATTACGGGGAATAGTGCTGGAAATTGAAATCCTATCAACTGAATTCAGTTAACGTTACTGCACAGTGGCTGATATCAACATTTATTCTAGGTGTCTTTGCGTTACAGCCGCGAAAATATGGGGTAGGTATACATGTGTTTGGAACGGATGACGTATCAACCAATCTTAATCAGGAAAGAGGTGAGGTAAAATTGGGTTTTACGTCGTGCTCGAGAATATTTCGCTCATATGCCGACGTGCATGCGTGTGTATGTGTATGTGCGGCTGCTTGTACTAGCCAAGACTGAAGCTGGTTTTATAGTGCTAGCCCACTGAGCATGAATACCCCACTCAGACACATTAAACTGACTCCGAGCCGACCAGTCCTTGTACCCATTAATGCCGAGCGCCAGGCAGGGACCAACAAGTACCATATTTTAACTTCTTTTGGTATGACGCTGTCGGGGATCGAACCCGCGACCTTCCGCTCTCCGGGCGGACGCTCTAACCACTACACCATGGAGGCGGTCTAATCAGGAAAGAAGTCCGCCATAATCAAACCTTATATCATCACCAAAGAGTAGCCACTGACTTGAATATAGATCTCACACGCATGTTTGATACCAGTTTTCTAACATGGGTTTCTCACCTTAAGCAATTGTTGTTAAGTTTGTTGTGTCCTGCCATTGTTGGAAGACATCCAAACGCAATTCCTGGTGCGGACAATGCATAATTACAAGCTTCAATCCAAATCTGCAAATTGACTCGAAACTGAATTATAACAACTGCATTTAAGTATAGAAAAACTGGAAAACAGCAATTAAAATCAAGTAGAAAAGAATATCTGACATAAGCATGCATCACATCCTTGATTGCATTTTAGAAGATGGTATTTGATGAACATAAAGAATTTCCTGGATTTCGTCTTCTCATTATTCTTTGATGCAACGTTTCGGGGCCTGTTCCGGCCCCATCAGCAGGTAAAACATCATCAACCCCAAAACGTTGTATCAAAGAATAAAAAGAAGATGAAATCCAGGAAATTCTCCATGATCATAAACATGCATTTTTTTGTGAAACAATTTTTTTCAGTGAGGGCATTATGGGATAATAAAAAGCATCATTTCAACGGAACTGCGATCAGTTAAAGGACAAGGTCTTCCTAACATTTGATATTGAGATCATATAAAAGGGTGAAGCCGCATAATCGTCAACCGTTAACTCCCTTCCATGTTCAAACCAATGATAATATGGCTATATAAATGATAGAAAATAGACGACAGTCATTCCGCTATCAATGAAGTCTTTCATCTCTGATTTTCTTCACCTTGGGATCCACCAGCTTCTCAAAATTCGGGTACATGTAGTAATATATTCCGTCAGCCGAACCCGGAAGTAGACAGCCCCGGATCAGGAAAATAGTGATGAGGATGTAAGGAGCACAAACTGTGAAGTACACCACCTGTTGCCATGGAAACACATAATGAAACTCAAGTTGATACTAGTAGCATATGTATGTAGAGACAATGCAAGGCTCATACAGACCGCAAGACCATGGTCACTACAGTTGCCCCAAAGGTGTTGACAGCTCAAAGCTCTATAAATAACGCCCTTTCTATGATTGGCTTTACCTTTCCTGACACCTTGATCCCCCAAAGGAGACAAAAGAACACTACGATGTAGGTGATAGCGAGACAACCAACCAGAGGCCACCTCATACTACCGAGATGTTCCAGACCGTCGCTAATCTGTAAGACCTTTAGCCTGTTCAAAATAGAGGTAAAGTAAGGGTACAAAAAATAATGAAAACAGTTTGAGATACAAGGCGATATTCGAGAAGTGACTCGGACAGAGGATAACCGGGCATGGAAATTATAATTTGAACTGAACAATAAAGCATATCCATTCAACACTTGAAGCGATGTCATAACGTTAATTTTGCAATGACTTTGCGCAATGAAAGTTGCTGCGTTTTGAAAGAAACTGTAATTTCACATGTACTGACATCAAACAAAATATGTAACGAACGTGTTGGCATATGTCCGCTAGAAAAACATTTTTATAAAAACGAGAAGTTACCGTTTTAGAAGATCAATAGAGCACATCATGGGTGAAAACAATATTGACGGAGACTATTCCGATTTCATTTACTTTTATGAAATCTTTATAAAACATACTTCAAATATATAAACACATTGGCCGTCGATCTTACGTCCAGAACTCTTCTGCCGGTGTGATTGCAATTAAATGCTTGGTCCCATTAGCCAAGGCAGAATAATTAGATAAGGCGGAAGAGTTGTGAAGGACATTCACTGTTCTGGAAACGGCAGTAGAAACATTTGTAGAGTTGGCAGGTGCGTCATCGCGGACGTTGTCGAACGATATACACGAGGGTGTGTTCCATGGGTTGTCACAGTTACTCCAGGGGATGTTGGGAGAGAAGGAGTGGTAGAAGTAGTAGATTAACCAGGCAAACAGAGCAGAATAGTAGTTGCTGAAGAATATGCTGATAAGGACGTTCCCTATGCCCATACCTGGAAGAAATTATTATTTGCGCTCATTAACCATGGCATGTATTTTGAAACACCACTCTGCAATACCACTACAGTAACCTCGCGTATATGTGTACTATGTTTATGGATAATATATGTTTTCGATCTGTGTATGCATATATATGTATCGTTGTGTAAGATAGTATAATGTAACATATATTATCGTTTAAGAAGTGTAAGAGTATAAACAACATGTCAGTTCATATATGCCTGATACCAGCATAGCGTGCACATTTCATTCAGTTTTTGGAGGCGTTTGAATGCCTGACGTGGACCCTGACCTTACCTACTGTTAAACCTTCCATCGTTCGTATTTTGATCGAACAAACTTTGTATGACCTTTAAGAATAGAATATACAGAGTAGTTTTCATTTGCAACTGCATTTTATTAGAAAGATTAATGATGAGATAAAGGCATGTACATACCTTTAAACGGTGGACACAGGTTCCAGACTTTAACTGCTCCACTCTGTGAGAACTGACCGATCGCCATTTCAAGGAACACACAGGGAACTGCGCCGATGATCATGAATACCACGAACGGTATCAGGAATGCTCCTACAAGACAACGATCATGTACATCATGCATTAGAGGTGTACCCTCTTAAACCTCCCACGGAAAATCAAAACAAAATCATGAGAGTTTGTTAAGTAACTTTTCTATTTTGGAGACAAACGTTATGAATTCAGAGTTTCCAGAGTTGGTCTGATGTTTCAATTACATTCTACGTTGAAATGAATGTTTCATCATGAACCGATTTGGAGTTAAATTGTGATTCATTGGTATCATTTTAACACAAACAGAATGTAGTTTCTGTTTGCTATACTGCTGGAGTTGGTGCGTATTTATTAAGTGCAATGTAGCAGTATTACTTTAATCTAAGATTATATATGTATTACAGTGCATATTTCTTCATACATTTTTATATTTTCACAAATAATTCATAACAAAGAAAATCCGTATACGTGCAAGTCGCGGGTGCATAGTGTATCTTGTTTATAGCCACGCCTGTCAAGCGCAGTAGTAGGCAATTAGCAAACGCATCCACGCCAACCTTAAACTAATTAATCAAAGATGAAGCTAGCCAGCTGTTTCGGCCCCGGCCTTTCTTCTCGGGTACACCCCTTGATCAAGTGCAGATAAGTAGTCCCATCCCAGCAGGAGCATGTCTACCACCAACCAAGTCGTAATCGAAAATCAACTTTTGTTGAACAAGATCGAGATTACCATCATGCTATCCTCTTTGTCCTAAATGCCATGGTCAAGCACTGACAGATATTTTGTTAAGCAGCTGGCGCAAGGTGACCGTGGCTACACCATAAAGAAAATCAAACCGTGTGAGGTAATCATCTTCTTACCACCTACCTCGTGTAGTAAACCTTGTCAGCATAGAGTAGATAACGCATATGGAAACTCCAACTTTAGGGAAACTTGATAATGACAAACGAGTAGAGCTGTGGGTTATAAAATCCTGGGTTCTTCCGTCTCAGGCACACTTGCTTGAATAAACCCAGGAACTCACAGCTCTCTCCTTTCTTGTTTCAAGGTAAGAAACATATAAACTTTATTCTTGATTATGTCTAACTTGTTATTTCTTTGTAATTATTGTCTAGAAAATGTTAGAGTCAGGTTTGAAACATTCCTACGATATTGAAGCACCTGCCTACCATTGTAAATGCTAGTTCTAGATATATCCAGGGATTGTTTTATGCACATTGCGTCGTGGGCTCCTCAAGTTTTATGTCTTTCGTGTACAAACAAATATTTCGTTTCTATGTTTCGACACACATGTGAAGATCCCCAGTCCTTGTCTTGTTTTATTCATTTGCATGTTAGATCTGTATATGCAGGTTAGATTCTCGTTCAGTAGCCTAGATTCTAGTAGCCTAGTCACAAAAGCAGTTCCGAGAGTTTATACAATCATTTCCAGCAAAGACGAAGTTGTATGTATTTTACGATAGTCCGCCAATCAAATGATATTCGTGTAGATTTACCTCAGATACGCGCTCACATGATAGGTATAACAGCCAACATTTGTGTTTTGATATTTCACCAAAACTATAAGTATTTGAAGAATGATATATTAAACGTTCCGTTCCGCATGCAGTTGTATACCGTACAGAACGGTTTATACGCGAATGACATTACCGTAATCAGTAGAAAATGGTATTGTCTACTCTTCATATTACCAGAAAATATACATTCAAATCCGTGTAGTTTGCAATTACAGTCTTCGTTCCGTATTGATTTAGCTCCGTAATTTAAGAAATACGCATAGCCAATGACAACAGCGCCGTCCTAGTACATTATTATATATTCATTTAACTAAGTTTCTGTCTTGTTTTGTAAAGAAAAAAAAATGTGGCACTACAGCATTACATATATTCTAGGCCATGGCTTAACTCTGTATATGTCGAAATTTCACGTTGCCAATAGCAACGCCACCGTCGAAATACACTTACCGTAGTCACCCAAATAATTCATGATAAAACACGCTTAAGTAGTAGTACTCTAACTAAAACTAGGCCTTCTGTCCCCGTATTTACAACACTTTTATGTCTCTCTAATATCACTTACCGTATCTACTGAAATTATTGTATTGAGAAAATATATGTTAACATTACAGTTAAAACGCGTACAGTCAATATTGGAGTTAACTGGTATATGTCAAATCTGAGCACTGCGGGTCGTTTACCATATTTGCTCAAAGCATGTATGTTGATAACGGAAATTTACTTACACTAGTCACAAATCGTTACCGTAGTTAATGCATTACACGCAACATACCGTAATAGTCGTAAATTCCTACCGTAGTCAATACATTACACGCAACATACCGTAATAATCATAAGTTCCTACCGTAGTTAACGCAATAGGCACTACATACCGTAATTGTCATAAATGGGTCCCATAGTTAATGCATTAGGCGCGACATAACGTAAAAGTCATAAATCCGTACAACAGTTAAAGAACTAGGCACTACATGCTGTAATTAAACCGTTGGGCGCTCCACTCAGTACTTGTCCTCTGCAATTGTGGTTGATGATTAATTTATCCGTCAGGTTATGTCATTTATCAGTACCGTAGTTACTCAAGGAAATGTATTATTTGTATTATGTTTCTGTAAGCAGTTACCGTACAAACCCTGTTGTACCACACATTGCTTGAATTACCATACTTAGATATAAACTGTATTAGGATATCATTGATTGTTATTTCTATTATTGTATGTCAATATTATGTATGAATTGATGTAATTTGAATGTCATGCAAGAGACACTTGCTTGAATAAACCCAGGAACTCACAGCTCTCTCCTTTCTTGCTACTCCCACAGATTAAGCAGTGGGTGTACACAAAGGAGCCAGCAACCCTGGATGAGGTTCGTCACCAGGCACAGCTGGCCGTACAGTCGCAGGCCCCCAGCACAGCAGTGGTCGGCTTGGTCCAACAAGTTGAACAATTAACAAACTTGGTTACAACAAACAAGGCCTGTGCTGTACAGTCAGCAATTACTTCAACCAGCCCACAGCAGCAAGAGCCCCGGGACCACCACCAACAGCAACAACACCCATACCAACAACCACCACCACTGCCACAGTACAAACCACCACAACCTCAGCAACAGTACAAACCACCACCACCACAACAGTACCAACCACCACCACCACCGCAGCAGCAGTACCAACTGCCACCACAGCAGTACCACCCAGCACCACAGCAGTATCCAGCTTCAGCTCCCCCTCTACAGCCATACAGCACAGCGCAGCAACACCCATAACCCTTCCCTTACCAGCCTGGCTCCAGCAACAGACGACTGTCAACACACAGCACCTTCGAGGCAGATGTCGCGGATGTGGTGAGTTTTTTCGGTTCCCTCACAATTGCCCTCACAGAAACACAATATGCAGTTACTGTGGTTTAACAGGTCACCATGCTAAAGTTTGCCTACGTGCATACTATGCTCAAGGTAGGCAGTCACAATAGGGACTCGCACCTGATTCTCAGCATTCTGGGGTCAGGCAAGAGTCAGATTTTGTATCTTTTGTGGCACCCTTGACAAAGAACAATGTTCATGTCAAGGTGAAACAAGTTAGAACTATAGCTTTTGTTGACACAGGTGCCTAAGTTAGCTGTGTCAGCATGGGTTACTTACGCAAGATAGGTATCAAACCCTTTCATTTAGGCCCATCTCACCTCACTGGAATCATTGGTGTAGGAGGTGAAAAACACTCTGTGCTAGGTTCTATCTCTCTTGACATCAACGTAGGTCACATCTATCTCTCTCAAACCTTTCATATCTTCCATAACCTACATCACTCACTCATCTTAGGCATTGACTTCCTTGAGTCCAACAAAGTCACCACAGACCTGCCCTCAAAGTGCTTACACATAGACGAAGGTCTTGTGTCAATCTCTCTGGCATCAATCAATGGAGGTTCCTCCACACTCTCAAGCTGACATTCCCATCAAAATTTCTCATTGTCAACAAGGTCAAGTTTTTCTCTTTGAACCCGTCCCAACACTAAATGACATGGAGCTCCAAGGTGCCAAATGTTTCATTACAAACCATCCCAAATCAGCTTGCATGAGATTACTTAATGCAAGTGACAGCCATGTCACACTGTTTTCTAAAACTGTCATTGCTGTTGCCTCAGAGATTGACCCTACATCTGTCCTTGACCTCCCTGACACGTCTGATTCTCACTCTCCTTCTACAAGTGCTAACACAACACATTCACAAGACATTGAGTTTGATCTCAGCGATGCTGATCTCACACAGGAACAAAGAAAACATTTGCATGCATTTCTACAATCACAAAGGTCAGTTTTGCCACAGATCTGTGAGACTTAGGACACACTCACTTACATCATCGCAAAATATATACAGGTGATGCCAGACCCATTAGACTCCCTTTTTACAGACAAAATGCAGGCATTAGGAAAGAATGCTCTAGACAAGTACAAGAAATGTTACAAACTAATATCATTCAGCCTAGTTCTTCTGAGTGGCACTCTCCTGTTGTCATGGTTAAAAAACGTGACTCTTCTTACCGTTTTGCCGTAGATTATAGACGCCTCAATGCAGTTACCAAGCCCATATTTTTTCCTCTACCACGTTTTGAAGATGTCGTTGATGCTGTAGGCGATAGCCGTGCCAAAATGTTTAGTATCCTTGACTTTGCTAGTGGCTTTTGGGCAAATACCACTTCACCCCCCGAAACAAAACACAAATCAGCATTCATTACACGTGATGGTGTTCTTGAATGGAATCGCCTCCCCTTTGGTTTCAAAAATGCCCCAATGGCTTTTCAGCAAACAATTTCAGAGGAACTAAAAGAAATGAATTGGCGTTACATATTGATATATGTTGATGACATCATAATATTTTCCAGAACCTTTTCGGATCATCTGAGTCACCTCAAGGCAGTATTTCAAAAGATCAGAGAAGCAGGCCTCACTCTAAAGCCCAGCAAGTGTAAATTCGCCACAAAACAAGTCACCTATTTAGGTCATATCTTCAGCAAAGATGGCATCCATGTTGATCCTTCAAAAATA